TTGTAACCTGGATTAAAAGTGTGGATTATTGTAACCTGGATTAAAAGCGTGGGTCATTGTAGTGAAGCCTTCGTCTTCAACCATCGACAGAGGCCTCATGTCAGTGATGATCATGTTAAAGATGGTTTCAGTCAAAAACAGCTGCTTGCTGTGGTGTCCATGATGTCTGTCCATCATGAAGGCTGTCGTTTGTTGTTGTTTTCTGGAATGAGAGAGTTTATAATAATAATTATTATTATTATTTATTTGTATAGCACCTTTCAAACAAATGTTACAAAGTGCTTCACATTAATCAATTAAAACATCATAAAATACATCAGAAACACAAATGCATACCAAATCAATTTAACAACATAAAAAAAGACATTCAAATATTAAAAGCCTTATTAAACAAGTAAGTTTTAACTAATGATTTAAAAGAAGACAATGAAGAGGCCTGTCTAATATTTAAAGGAAGAGCATTCCACAAATTAGGAGCCCTGACCATAAAAGCCCTCCCTCCTTCTGTCACCAGTCGAGCTCTGGGAGTGAAAAGTAAGAACAGATTTAAGGATCTGAGATTGCAAGAGGGGATGTAGGGGGTAAGAAGCTCAGATAGATATGATGGTGCAAGACCGTTCAGGGATTTAAAAACAAACGCTAAAATTTTAAAATCAATTCTAAAAACCACAGGGAGCCAATGCAATGAGGACAGAACTGGAGTGATATGGGGAGTGGTGGCGCAGAGGTTAGAGAGGTGGGCTTGTGATCCGAAGATCGCCGGTTCACGCCCCGGCCCCGACAACATCAAAATTGTGGGTGGGGTAGGTGAAATACCCACACTTGCCCCCACCCTCATTCGCCCCACTCTGGGCCCATGAGCAAGGCCCTTAACCCCACCATGTGCTCCCTAAACAGGTCTCTCTTGAAAATGAGTTCTCGTGGCTCAATGAGACTAACCTGGATAAATAAAGGCTAAATGAAAAAATTTATGGGCTCTTGTGCGAACTCTAGCTGCAGTGTTTTGTACTAGTTGAAGGCGATGCAGAGAATTTTGGGACAGGCCAGAAAATAAAGAGTTACAATAATCAAGATGATTTACTCTTACCCACTTTAATATCTTACACCAAAAAGATTAAGTGTTGCTTGCATTCTCTATTTGGTTCTAGTAAGGAGAAAAACTCATCTCAAAATCTACAACCATTCACGATTCAAATCCCTCAACAACGGGAAGGATATCGGCGTACGTCTTGTCACTTTGAACTCCGCCTCCTCACCTTCTCGCCATCTTTCCTTCATTTATTTACAGCTTAGTTGCATGGGGAGGAGTGAATGTAATAATTTAGATGTATTTTGTTTAAACACAAACACTGTTGTATACTTTGAAAGCTACATTTATGTATGTCGTTTGGTGCAGTTTGGGGAAGTGGAAGGCACCGCAGCACTCAAAGTTTTTCTACTAGTCAAGGAAAAATAGTGAGGGGAAAAAGGCTTGTACTTTTACATTTGCTCTCTCAGTAGAAAGAAAAAAGGTCTTGCACACTGCAGGACCTCTCTATAGGCTCATTTATTGGCATCTGTATTAGTACCTACTGCTAATAAATGAGTCTAAAGGGAAGTGCTGCAGTGTGCAAACCTGTTTGCCACTGTTTGCTTTGTGGCTTTGCACCTGCTATAATTTTGACTGTTTTTTTTTTAAATATATAATTTTGATGAGAATCAGACTTTTAGGGATACTTTTAAGAAAACCAGCTGATTCTAAGGATTTTAATTAATGTAAAAAGACAAAGATAAATATTAGTGGCCAGGTCTCCAAAGAGATGAGTTTTCCTTTAAGAGCCTGCATGAAGATGTGTGTGAAAATATACACTCTGACACCTTGAACATTTATAGACATGCTCCTTTTATTACACAATGGAGTTTTCTGATACACGTACTGGCTTTAGATGGCTCGCCTATGGCTGTCAGACACACACACCTGCTGCAACTAAGAAAAGGCCAAGAAACCTCATGAATAGGAAATCAGGTTTTGCTCTACACCCTCTATCTTCACCTGCATGAAAAAGCCTTTGCAGCAAGTTTCTCTGTTGCCCATCTAAAGGCTGTCCTCCTCCTCAAATGATGTTATTTTCCCTCAGATTTATTCTGCACGTAGCCTGACAGAAATGTTTTCATAATGAATGACCTGCTCACTTTGGATGAAACCAGAGTTTAAAAATAAGTATTTATGTTCATTTTTAAGATGACTTTTTTTTGTATATGTCTCAAAGAAAGGCATTTTAGAGGCTTTCTACTGACTGTGTGAGTGTGTTTGGACTAATATTGACTGGGCACACAAACACAATTTTTTTTTTCACCCATTCAACGGTGCTGACAGTTAAAGATGGCCTTTTTCCAACCTGCATGTTTCTTTTAACAGCCAGGCGACATTTTGACAAGAACCTATCATCTAGCCAGCCATGAATTCAAAAAGGAGTTTGTGTTTGAGTGCACGTCTGAAGCTTAAAATTCTTGCGGACAGCGAGACAGACGTGACGTTGTCTTATTTGCACAGTGGAGGAATTTCCCCTTGTCTGACTTCAGTCTAAAAAGAGCAGAGTGAAAGTGCTGTTGACCTCCCCCCCTCCCCCCCAACGTGCATGTTGGGTTTTTGTAGAAACGCTTTTGATTGTAAAAAAAAATAAAATAAAATAAAGTTCTTGTGTTCTTAGCTGCTCACTGTTGCTGATCTGACAGCCCTTTGAGTGAGGGCTGTGATTCTCTTTATACAGAGTGGGTAAGAAAAGCCTCTTTGCCTTTGGTAATTGCAACTCCACTTGGCTCTCATCTTAACGGTTCTTCTCAGGTGTAGCTGGTTTGTCACTGTGACTTGTTTCCCCGCTCTGTGGGCAGTATCTTAACTGGTCCTTGTGTTCGAACCACTCCGCTCGTTGCGATCCTTAATCGCCCTATAATCCGACTTAAATTTCTTTAGATTATAAGTCCGGGTGTAGCCATGTTGCACCATCATCTCCGATGTCTCTCTGTTAATGGGCTCATTTCTTGTGGTGCCGTCCGTCAACATGATGAAGTGGAGGTTCATATGTAGTTTGCAGTTTTGCTGGCTGGGTCATCCAGTCATATAGCTTCACTGGCCAATCAAAGGCTGCCGTCTGCTTATGTCAAAATCGTCTCCACGGTGCATTTCTCTTGGAACCACGAACAAGGTGGTCCCATAATCCAGACTGAGTGGGGGTGGGTACCGGCAGTGGGCAGGTCCTTAACTGGTGTGGAACCGGTGAGTAGAGTTGCATTCGGGCCCAAAAAATCCAACCCGGCTCCAGCCCGTAGCCATCATTTCCGAACCCCAACCGACCCATTGAATTAAAAGTAATTACAGGTCTGAAACCGACCCCCCCCCCCCCCCATCGATATTTTTTATTAAGCTTTGACTGCTTATATGGTCAATGGACGTGGGCGAAAGAGTAAAGGGGGCAGAAGATAGGCTGAAGGGGTGTTTGTCCTTTCATGGCCGTCAGAGCGCATTAAATCCCTGCTTTTCCCTGCATTCTGCATTATTCAGACACGGACCCTGCTCTGACATGTCTGATTTTTTCAGATCTCACCTGTTTGGGTCGTCGGCTGCGTGCGTCCGCTGAGTGCATTGGCTGAGTGAACGTTCATTTGGGCTGATGGATCGCTGGCAGTAGTCCATCTGAACCTTAACTGAACCTTTACCTCTTTCAAGGCTGGTCAGCGCGTGGTGAAATGGCCGCGTGCGGCTAATGATTGTATGGCAAGCCATGTTGCAATATAATTGGATCGTCAGCCGCGCGTGTCTGCTGATGCAAGCAAAAGCCTGACACCGACCCGGCCCGCACATTAAGCACATTATTATGGCATGGACCGGCCTTAATTGGGTGGGAACGGGCTCCAGGTTCGGGTTAAAAATGACGGCTCTACCGGTGAAAGTTGAGACAGTGGCAAAATGCCATTACATCTAAACGTAAACTTATCAGGTGTGAACGCTTCCAGTCAGAGCTGTCTTCTTGCAATTGAATGACATTGGACAGATGTTGTTATAATTATTAAATTATAATTATTAATCCTTTATTTCACCAGGAGACAGAAAAACTCATTGAGATAAAAAATCTCTCTAACAAGAGAGTCCTGACCAAAGCTACTGGCAACACAACTCAAGGTTTCATAAAACAAACTTTTAACAATAAGTAACATTTAACTAAAATAAACTGTTGAATATCTTCTGTTAGTGTTTGTGTGAGGTCTGAACATGGCCTTTGTACGGACTTGAACCATTAATGTTCACGACTTTTATGTTCGTATAGAGAAAACAAACATCCGGCTCAGACTCAGTCACCGGCTGAGGGACCAGGCAGAATGTGAAAGATGGCCAAAATTTACAGCAGCTGTTCTTTACAGTCATAGCAGACGAAGAAACTAAACAACCATCGTTCCTGCCTAAGGACCTAAACGCACCGCTCCTTTATTTTCACCTTGCACCGCAAAACAGACGGGTGCCTCCTTCCCCTCAGCATGAATACGTAAAGTAGAGGAATGGAGTGAGGGGGGAGTGTGAAACTGGATTCAACACTATTGTGTAGTACTGACAGGAGCCCACAGAGTGAAAGACTGAGATCAGGCAGAGCTAAAGGTTAGCTAGAAACTGTATTCTGTATGTGTTGTTGCTCTCTGCTCTTGTGGAGTTAAGAGAAGAATCTCCTCTTTGCTCTCCACTTTTTTCCCCTCTCTCTTTTGTTTCCCAACCTCTTCCTTTGTTCTCTCCCTCCTTTGAGTCTCCTGCTAACAATGTGAGTGTTTGCTGCATGTTGCCATGGCTATTCTTGGAGCCCGCTGCACTCCGTTACCTTCCTGTGAGACTAACTGGGTGTTGTGTATAACTCTGTGTTGATAGGGTTTTGCATTTGAAAGAAAAAAAACAAGGCAACATTTTTTTTTCCAGTTGCTACACATTTATTTTATTTTATTTTTTTGACTCATATTTGTGTCACATTCAGGCTCCCAGCAGCCTCCTGGAGGCTTTGGAGCAGCACCTGGCCTCTTTGGAGGGCAAGAAGACAAAGGAATTGAATGCAGACACTAGGTAGTTCAAATCCTGAAGAAAAATACGTATACAATAAATAACCTCCAAATAAAGAGACAGTGATTTAATTTTCTCTCCCGCTTTCTGTATTCCAGAGCGTCTACCTTATCGAGCGCCGTCTCGACTCTGTCCTCCACCGGCATGTCCTTCAGTCGTATGGATGAGAAGGAGAAGCAGCAAGCTCTGGAGGAGGAGCAGGCCAGGCTGCAGTCTCTTAAGGTACTGTGTTTTTATACAGTTAGGTCTACGGAGTGCATGAGTGGACTCTGAGGAACTGAACGAGTTGAAGTTTCTGCTGTGGCCTTTCTCAAGTGATTTCAAGTAGCATCTTGTGAGCAGGATCGTTAGGTTCTGTGCAGCTGATGTAAAACACAACAAGCTGCATTTAACTAACTGTATTAGCTACAATCTATTTACTTTGAACAGACTCATGTTGGCTGTATTTAAATACACAATAGTACTGTAGTATTAATGCATTTAAACCTTAGCAAATAAATACATGTAGCTGCATTTTATGGCCATTTTAGCCTGTATAAAGTCATTCTTGAAGTAAGCTAGAGGCAAATACAGTAGTCGCTCGTTTATCGCGGGGATCCGTACCCTGAACCTGAAGCCTTGTGATAAGTGAAAAATGTGAAGTAGGAATATTATTACAAGTGTGTATATGTATGTATATATGTGTGTGTGTGTATATATATATATATATATATATATATATATATATATATATATATATGACATTAGTTTGGAGTTAAATATCTGGACTCGTTTCTTTATTTCTGCTCAGCATCTCCTAAATGTGATGTCCAGAATTCATGTTTTGGTCACACAGAAGTACTGGAGGAGTCTGACATGACGACAGTCTTTTTATAAGAGAGCTGGTTTTTGTAGAAGCAAAGGTTAGGCACAAAACAAAATATTACCCACTTCCTTGCGTGCCAAAGTTTAAGCACGGAGGTCAAGTGATTTGTTGTCAAAATATGTGTTGGGGATAATTCTCAACAACTAAGAGGTCAAATAAAAAATATATATCTCACTATCTTTATATTTGGCTGAGTTATAGCCATTCTTGTGTTTTCTAACGTGGGTTTGTAGCCATCTTGAAGCAGACTGACTTAAAAAATGACTGTTGTAGGTGTACAATCATTACTTGTGCATAAGTTCAAGTCTACTTTATTGTCGTTTCCACCACATGTGGTGCATGAGGTGGAACGAAATTATGTACATAGTTGCATCCAAAAATAGCAAAAACAAAGTATAAAAAGAAACGCTAAATAAGAATCCAAGATATACACTAAGAAATATGATAAATGAACACCAAACAGTACGCTAAAAGATCTAAGATATACACTAAACACTGATGATGTAAAACAACATGGTGTAACAACAGCAGCCTGAACATGAGTCTGTGGTGAGCTACTTTACATTACTTGTGCAATTATGTGCATTTAAGTGACTATTACTACCTGTGAAATACTTATACAAGTTTATCTTACTTGCACCGTTATATTCTACCATGTTCTTGTTTACTATATTTCATTAGGACCTTGTAAATATTATAATTACTTTTTTCACTTTTTGGTACTTTTATTTTGGATCCTTATTGCATGCTTTGCTTCTTATTTGTTTCTTTGTTTTTAGTGAGTCAAACCGGTTCTCATCCTGAACATTTAATTTTACTGTTAACCTTAAGTTAGCCTGCATATGACAAATAAACACAACATACTTTGAGTTTCATTAAAGCTTGTCCCTATTAAACCTGTTTTTATTAGATTTTTTTTAGACATTTAGTTAATAAACATATGCCCATACAAGCCCAGACAATTGCATAATGGCAGGCGATAATATTCACTTCAGCTGCAGTCACAAGTCCACACTTTTTAGTTTTCTGAGGAAAAATCTGCAAACATGTGCTTCGCTCAACGGATCTGAGTTGTTGCTGACAGCTCGCCCTGCAGATTTGCTGTTTAAGAGCTGAACTCCAGCTGAGGATGAAGGCCGTGGGCCTCTGTAGCGATGGAAAAGTCAAGTGCAAAATGTGTCGGGCCTTTTTTTCTCCTCTCTTTACTCCAGCCCCGGGAGTCCTGCCTTACAGCACACTGTAATTGAGTGGGAGCAGAGAAACTACAAGTCAGGCGCGCTGCAGCTCAGTGTGTACACACGTTCATGTTTATGTGCTCACGTCCCACCAGTAAAGGTTCAGCTTGTGCAGTGCTGCTGTCTGAGGCTCGTCCAGCTTTGTGCGAGTCTGAAACCTGCAATAACGCACCATCACTACCTCCAGACACTTTATGTGCCTGTTTGATTGGATTTTTTTTTCTGCTCTTTACTTTGTGCCCTTGGTTGCCCCGTTCCCTGCCAAGGTCCACTGATTACCTTTGAGTTAGTTAGTTAGAAAAGGAGTGCGAGATTAAGGGAGAACACTGAGTGAGAGAGCCGAGGGGTTAGCAGGGTCGTCCAATACCTCCAGTCCAGCTGTCTGCGCTCTGGTGTCCATATGGACTCAACAGCACATACACAAACACTTGCACACTCTGCTACCGATATGGACTCAACAGCACATACACAAACACTTACACACTCTGCTACCGTCCAGCTGGGGCCTCAGCCCAAACAATAACAACTCTCCTCCTTTTTCTGTTCTCGTCATGCCGTCAGAATAAAACCGAGGAGCCGGCTGAGGCTGGTACAGCAGCAGACTGCTTCTACGTCCGCTCCAAATCCTGTACAGGTGGAAAGGTTGTAAAGTAGCTTGGAACATTTCCTTACCTTGAAGCTCTGCAGTGAATTAAACTCTGCAGCTGGCTACGTGTAAATAAAACAGATTAAAGAGCTCTGAGGAACTGTTTCCAGTCCCTCTGTGGCCATCCATACTAATAATCTGACTCACTTCTCTACCTGCCTACCAAACAGTACATTTTCTCATTAAACCTTTTTTTTTGTCTCGCTGCATATATCCACAAGATAAAAAAGCTAGACAAATATATTGATCTCTGTGGAGCTAATGACTAGATTTACTGTGTAGTACGGGCAGAAGAATGTGGAATAGAGCGATTAAAAACAGAGCAGTGCTGCCAGCTTCAACATGTTCAATGAGTTGTATGGAGAAGTATTATAAATTTCAAATTCCATTTTGAGTTTAAAACATATGCACAACCATTGTGAAGCGATAGTTCAAAGATCTGTTGGATAGGCGTTATGTGGGAAGGTTTCAAACACATACCTGCAAACATGTCACTTTTCAGCGAAATTCGTCCATTTCAAACTAACATTTACGTGAATCGTCTTGATCCGAAGAGTTTGTTGTTTTTTCGGGGGGTCAGTCAGAAGTGCGGCGGATGGCATAGTTTCCCTTTAAGAAACCGCATTCCTCCTCGGTCACTTGGCTTAGCAGGTGCTCATCTCTGGGGTTTTGTCAACAGGGAAGAGGGAGACACCTCTGTGTTGCGTGCGAGCTTACAACTACGTTAATGAAGGCAGTTGTTGACCAGGGGACGGGTTAGGATGCACGAGAGAAATGGAGTGCGTAGCATCTTAGTAGCGCATCTGTATCGTGCGCGGCAAGATTTAGCCTTAAGATTTGAAAAGTCCAGCTGATGGTGTTATAGAGAACACCTTGAAGGAGAAAAATGGTGTTGAGGAGAAAGAACCCAGGTAACACAAGTCTGTAAAGTAAAATTGGTAAAATGGGGCAGGAACAGTGGACAGGAAAACAACGGGAGACGGAGATGGATGATATTCCAAGTGGATTGTAAAGGAAAGAACAAAAGTTATGATGTGTAGAAATTATGGAAGCAATGAAGGAACCTGTAAATTTTGTTTTAATTAGTACATGGAGGTTGACAAAACTGACAAACTTTTATTTTGGTGTGTCACTATTGTAATGCAGAGCATTTTTGTGTTGTGAAGGCTGCTGCCATGTCATTTTCTGTTATGAGCCCATCACTAAATCAGAAAACAGTAACCAGCCCCCCTAAATTCACTGTTGGTGGTTATTAAAATGTCACCTGTTCATTAGGTAAAGTTAATATTCTTATTTTTAATCATGCAGTTCAGTGTCACCATTGTTTAGCACAATGGCATGTTGTGTTACAAATAAAACTAAATAAAAAAGTTAACAAAATAAGTCAAGTGCACCCCTAAAGTCATTTGTTTGTGATAAATCGTGTCACATTAATTTAATTATTTTAGCCAGAGGAGTGAGTTTAAAAACAGGATGATGCCTATATGGACTAGTTGAATAAGGCGTCTCATCCTGATGCATGATCCATAATTTCAACATTTTTTAAATCCGTCCAGAGAACATGACTTTATATTAAAATCAGACACCACTCTGAGCAGCAGGACCACGCTTTCCACAG